CATTTACTATGTATTAAAGTTAGTGGTTGGTATAACTTGGAGGTATTTCATACCTTTACATTCAAGTTGATTTAACTTCCTAATTCTGAGATGCCTGTGGCAAAATGATAGTGAAGGTGAAACGGAATCCTTTTCATTTCAGAGCCACAAAGCTCTCTGCCAACAGAAAAGGAGCATTATTTTCAACACCTACAAGCTACAGAGGTGACAGTTATCAGGACTCCCACCGTGATGAAAGAAAACTAGCACACATGAGATTATGGTCATACAAATTTTAGGGAGAAGATAAACAAGTCATCTGATTTCCCTTTCCCTGGGGTCATGCCCACTGTTCTTGGCCCATTTCATTATCATTCACTCACTCTCTTAAAATCATTTGTTGGGCACTTGCCCAGCACTGAGCTCTGTGCTAGGCACTGAGCACATGACAGTGAACCAGCCAAATCCACAGACTGCCTTCTGGGAGCTTACAGTCAGTGTTCAAGCATGTGTACCCGGGTGTCTATTCTCCCACTTGCTCCTGAGCCAACTGCCTGAGAGAAGAATTGGATGCCCAGAGAACAACAGAGGGACCAAACAGTTATATTTTTAATTCCTAGTTAGATCTCCAAAAGAGCTTAAGATAGTAAGTGCAGTGTGGGTGGCAGGAGAACCATAACCAACAGTATATTCTAGATAGGCTGTGGGGTCCTAAAGGACAGCGTGGGGGAAAACCAAGAGTATGAGAAGTACTGGCTAAAAATGGCTCAGGAAGGGGCTCAAACAAAGACAGGGAAGGAGAAAGAGAGGATCTGACTCCTCACCAGGCAGGAGCACTGGTTGGAGCCCTGCTGTTAGAAAATGCACACTTTCATGTTTCCTTACAGGAAGTATCTGCTGCCCATTACCCAGGGCCAGAATTAAGTGTTACCAAGTGGAATACACAAGTGTTCAGGCCTCTGAATTCCTCCCCTATATAGTAAAGGTGCTGCTGGCCCAGGCTCCTGCCCCCTCAGCCATTTCAGAGTACAGTACACCCAGCAGATCTTGGGGAGACACTAGAGTTTTTCCAAAATGTCGGGAAGGGGAAACCCAATGAGGACTTACAGGCAAAGACAGGAGAACTTTTCTCTACAGAGTTGTGCCAATGGAGACCACTCAGTGTTACCAGCTGGTCTGCAGGGCATTTTTCAAAAGGGGTCTGCCTCATATTTTAATCTGGCATACATAGATTTATGGCCCAGAACAGCATTTTCATACTGAGTCACAACGCATTAGTGAGATACGAAATCATGTGGATTCAGCCAATATTTTAATGAAATAGAATAAAATCAAACAGCATAGAATAGGAAATATTAGAGTACACTGTTGGTAGTAAGAATAAACATTGTTTTATGAAACTTGTTTCCATTCTAAACACACACACTGTTTCTATTTTACACAAACCTATGTCTCACTATCTAAATCTATTTGGTTCCTAAGCAATAATACATATAGCAAGGGATCCTATGAAACTCTGCTTTAATTCCTTTGCCATATAAATGTACTCCTTTAAATTGTGGATCAGGTTGGGTGGGGGGGGTGATGGTGATTGAAATTCACTAGCTTAAAGAAACTATAGTTAAGTAGAATGGAAATTTATTTAAAAATTTATTCCAAGATAATTTAACACACTCTTCTTTTGTACTAGTTATCTTTCATTTGGTTTCCCTTAACTTTTGTGTGTGGGAATACATCTCATTTTGCATACATTCTTTCAGTCTCATATTACAGAGAGAAACAAAAGGTGGGAAATAACTGAAAACAGGACTTGGGTTTGGATGCATAATCCCCACCACAGGGCAGCCCAGGCCAAATCCTGTTGGTCCCTGTGCCAAACCACTGGACAGAATCTGGACCAGAAGCAGGCTCTTTTCTCCCTTAGAAAAAACTTTAAAAAGCCAATTTCTCAAATTACTGGGCAAAGGACCAACTACTCTCTAGGATAGGGAGCCTTGAATAGGATCATGGCCAATTCATATTTATAAACAGAACTGTATTTGTTGGGGCATCACAATTTTTGTAAACTTTTTGACAAACTCTATAAATAAAGCAGTATTTTCAAAAGTGATTTTAGAAAAATTAAATTAGTTTGCCTGATACGCTTTAAATAATCCTCCTTACCCCCACCCCCACCACTCACCCCTTATCCTGATACATATATATATAGTAAAATAAGAGCTATCACACAGCCATGGGCTACCTGTGAAACAGTGTTGCCAGCACTATACAGGGACTTCAACTGGCTTTCACTGCTCTCCCTAAAATTCCCAAACACATCCTCAGGGTGTGCTGCCCTAATAGTCACATGTCCAATCTTCTTTAATTCAGGAGTCACTAGCCTACAACAGATAGTTTTAACAGAGGAATGACTACTCACAAATCAACTTAATCTAGTGGGGATTGTCGATACCCTGGAACTAACCACAATGACATTCCACACCAAGGTCTTTGTTCCCTTAACATCTTAATGACAACTGTGTAACTAGTGAATTAAATGTTTTGGCCTTAGAGTCACCACTGATAGGCAGATTTGGCCCAAAACTGAGAGTTAAGAGAGTAAAGACTTGAAACCAATCGACTGAGTCTCAACTTTATCCCTAGTGGAGGAAGGAAGACTTCTGTCAGTCAATACCTATAATTATAATTCTGCTATATTCTCTGGCTATATAGATTCTTAGTATTATATCTGTAACATTAGTTGCTTTATGTTTTAGGTTTATTTTGTTGAAAAAAATAACTGATCATGAAGTGACATTTCTCAGTCTCAGCCAAATGGAGTAAGTATGCACCTCACCAATACTGCCATCTACAGAGAACTTACCTAATACACATGACTACTGAAAAGCAGCAAAAGAGAGAATTTTTAGTTTTCTCAAAATATTCTAATTCTGTGATTTGCAAGGTAATCAAACAACTAGAAAGCAAGTGAGAACCTCAGCAATACATAATTGATTTATATTTGTCTTCCAAATTTGTCTTCCAATTTTGTCTGCAAAATATAGCACAAAGCTTTTTTAAAAAATAAACTTCAAATTCCTTAGGTTTTCCCTACGAAGTCTACCATCCATAGATGTGTACAACTGACAGTTTATTTTTTTCTAACCAATTTTCCATTCGTCAAATTAAAGAAATGTCTTGAGTTTCCTGATGGTAAAGCTATTCATAAAGATAATATGTGTTATTGAGAAGTCCGAGTCAATTAGGCATCTAGGGCAAATGTTACTCAGAAAGCAGTTAGATTTGGTGGTGGGACAGTCCCTTTAGCACCAGCAGACACTTCCTCTACTAGGTGGCAGTTTCTAAAACACCAAGTAAACAATTGTAAGTAGATTATCTCTTTAATCAGAAATTTACACTGCTCCCCTGCAGCTCACCATACACTTATAGTAAGGTTCGAATCTGAAGAAAGGAGACACTTCATTTATTTCCAACCTATTAGCGAATGTATACAATAGCACATCTTCAGATGAACATTGAAAATTTTGATCAAGTAGGATATGTATGTATATACTATTCAATGCCCAAGTATTTTGGAACATTTTTTTCAAGATTATTTATTTGAGAGAGACAGAGGGCACGAGCGAGTGGGGGGCATAGAGGGAGAGGAAGAATCTCAAGCAGACTTCCCACTGAGCATGGAGTCCATTGCAGGGCATGGATCCCAGGACCCTGAGATCATGGCTTTAGACAAAATGAAGAGTTGGATGCTTAACCAACTAAGCCACCCAGATGCCCTGGAAAATTTTTAAACAATGACAAAAGACTACATTTTCATTCAGAAATTTTGCCTTTCTTACATACCTTCTATATCTATGAGCCATTAATATAGTGGCAAATTGGGGGGGGGGGGGGAGGTGACCCTTAACACCCTCCCACCAAGTACCAAAATCCATAATCCTACACTGTGGTCTTCAATGGCATTAAAAAAAAAAAAAAAATGGTTCTTAGCTAAACTCTTTCCAACAAAAAGAGAATAGAAAATAAAATTACAAGTATTAAGTACAGAAGCTTCAACTTGTCAACACTTGAAATTACATTTTCAGATTCCCTACCATAAATGGCCTGGATCTAAAATGAGTGTTGAAAGGAATTCTCTTTACCTACCAATAACAGAAAGGAAAGAAGGAAAAAAGAAGAAGGGAAAGAAAAAAATAATTTTCTATGTTTAAAAATTTGAGAACATATGGCATCATCCACATGGCAAAACCACTCTCTACCTGTTTGGATCTTCAGAGGAGAGATGAGGGACATTTCTGCAACCCCAGAGAGATAGCTTTTTGCATATATAATTTAAATAAATCACTCCAGCATGAAAGAAGAGCAGAATTCTTCTAATTACCACTGCCTAGACCCCTTTTGCTGTTTTTTCTTTAAAGCCACACTAGTTCATTATTCTGCCTTCAACTCTCTTAAAAATGATTCATTCCCCCCTTTCACTCCTGAGCAGACTCTGCAAGGAAGCTAGTATTTAAGTTTAATTTCTAGTGCCACTTGCTTTGGAGAGTTTGATGAGAGGAAAGGGGAAGAATCTAATTTAATAATTCTGTCATGGTTTGGAGAGGCACCCTCCTCCCCTACCCCAAAAAATAACTAGACAAACAAGACCCTCTGGCAAGCTATAATCGTGAGCAAAGACACCATTCGGGAAAGCAGGGCCCACGTGTGGTGGGAGCTGTCACCCAAGGGAAGTGGCAGCCGGCGAGGAGGAGGGAGCGAGGGTGGGAGAGTCGGGCTGCTGCTCGCAGCTGCGCCGGCCTGGGCGCTCCGAGAGACACCCGACTCCCAACTTGAATGTGCTTAGCTCTCTCCTAGACACTAGGCGGGGAGAAATCAAAGGACAGGGAGGCTGGCTCCCGCATCCCCGGGAGCAGTCCCTGCAAAAGGGACTGCCCCCGGTGCGCGCCGCGGGCTTCCCCAGAAGCCCGAGCCCGTGCGCAGTACGGGCGACTCCACCACGTCCAGGGTGCCCCCCGCCTTACCGTCCCAGCTCCGACTCCACCTCGAAGAAATCGCTCAAAGCATCTCTATTGGAACCTTCGATCCAGTAATCCGGGACGAGGCTCCCGGCCCCCGGGGCCACACTGGCGGTGACTGAAGAGCAGGACGAGGCGGAGCACGAGGGCACCGTGACTTTGAGCATCTTCGCGGCGGGACTCCGGAAGCCGCCACCGCCGTCGCTGCCGCTGCCGGAGCGAGAAGCCCGGCCGCCCGCCGCTGCCTGCAAACGCAGGAGCGAGAGGTGGCGTCCTTCACACACTCGCACACACCCACCGCCGCGGCCGCCAGCGCCGCGGCCGCCGCCGCCGCCGCCTTCCCCCGGCGCCTCCCCCGGCTCCCTGGGCTGCGCGCAGGCTGCAGCTCCTTTCCTGCACACTCGGAAAGGAGGGAGGGAGGGAGGGAGGGAGGGAAGGAGGGTGGGAGGAGAAGGGGGCGAAGAACTAGGAGAGGGTGTGGAAGGAGAACCCAGTCGCCACCAGCCTGAGAGGAGAGGCGGAGGCACTGCAAAGGGGAGAGATTCCCTCCCCCTTCGCTCCCTCCCTCCCCACCTCTCCTCCTCCCTCCGCCGAGCCTTTCCAGCCCCCTCCCTTTTTTCCTTTCTCCCTCCCTGGCTGTGGCTGCGGCGGTGCCGGCTTGGGCGGCTCCGGATGCTAGGAGCTTGGGGAAAGCACGAGGACCAGAGCATCATCCCACGCGCCCTCCCGCGGAAGCCAGGAACCTGGAAGGCACCACGCGCGCAGTGGGACGCTCGCCCCAGGAGTGGCGGACGCCCAGCGCGCTCTGGGAGCACATGGGTCTGGACCACGTAGCAGCAGAAGCGTGAGAGAGGGACCTGGCTGTCATCGGCGCTACTCATCCTTCCCGGAGCGCGTCTAGGTGGCGAGTCCCTCCCACCTATCACCAGCTAATCAGCCATCCCCTGTTCATCCCTCTGTCAAAGCTTATATTGGCAGCTGGGGAGGGTGCCCTGTGGTCGCCGATCTCCCAGAGCTCCTGTGCCCGCCCCCGTGATAGCTGGAGGAGAGGGAAGCGCCTGGGTCCTCACTGACCTGACTCACCTTTGAGTGAAGTCTTCAGTTAGAAGAGACGGAGCTGTGCTGCCGCCGACACTGCCCCCTTTAGCACTGTTAGCGCTCCTGAAAGGGCAGGTGTTTGCTGAGTGCGGTTCACTTCCAACCTCTGAAGGCTAGAACAGAAATGACCCAGAGAATTACAGGTCTGGAAGGGCCCTGTGGAAGCCTTAGGGGGGGGATCGGTCACCATTCGTGACAGAGAAGATTGCTACATTTAAAGCTCTTTACTGTTCCAAGGAGATGTGTCCCATCACAAGCATTCCAATATCTGTCAACCTTCACACTGCTCTTCTAAGTACTGGTTAAATGTATCCCATTTGTATTTCTACCCTTGAACTTTTTTCTTTCTGGATTTCAGCAAAGACAAACAACAATCAGTCATGTTCTGTAATAAATATATATATAAATAGTTATTACATCAATCTCATTTCTGGCTAAATAACTCTAGGCCCTTTCTTTAACCTTACTTCACAGGTGTTACTTTCAGTACTTTTTTTTTTTTTTTTTTTTTACTTTCCTCCAACATGCAATAAACTCTTCTCATATGTCCCCATTCCTGATAACACCAATAAACAAAGTCCAGTATTCTCCTCTAACTTATTGATTTATTTCTGACTCTTAAGAGCTTTCATGCTATATTGGTGAACTACCCTCCCCCCCAAAAAACCATAAAAAACCAAAACCAAAAATTAAATGATTAGTGATACGAATATGATCCTTAGTTGATTGGAAATGAAAAAATAAACATAAAAACTATCCCTCACAGATGATTTTATGAAGATGAGCATATGCTCAATTTACAAATGGCCTAAAAAATAGAAAGTATATGTAGATTCATATATATTCAGTGAAATAATGAATTCTTTGGTGAAAGACTGAAAATGCTTACACAACATTACTTTTCAGAGAATGAGTTCACTAATCTTCATGTTAGAAAATCAAGTTCATACTCAAAGCAAGCTAATAAAGCTCTAAAGTAAATTCTAGTTCTCATGAAGTAGGTTTCCTTTGGCTTGCACTGACTGGTGGAGGAAGGGCATGGAGTAGTTGCTAGGCCATTTTTATTCACACTTCTTTAAGGCAAGTTCTGAAGTGGCAGCACTGCATGTATATACTTGTCTGTTGTGAGCCATTCTTTTACAACATAAGTCCAAAGCAAGCATATTACATTGAAAGAGATGATAAGTCTTTTTACTCTTGCTATTTTAAGGAAAAATAGCCAAAGAAACACCATTTCATGGTATAGAGGAGATTGCAGAACTGATATTTACATTCAACACTGGTTTAGTCATTTGATATACCTATGCTTTTCAAAACTGACTTTTGTAAAAGTGCTATTAACTGATGTTTCAAAAGAGGGTATCTGGTTTAATAAATCAGTTTGTTTATTTAAAAATAGAAGATGAAAATAAATATTATCTTAAGACAAGTGGAACAGGATTGAATCCAGATGATTTATCTTCACTCCTTACGAAATATCATTTAAAATGACCAGAAGAAGAACAAAGGCATATATCCACAAAAAGAAAGAGAGAAATAATATCAACTAAATCCCAGAATCTAAGAACAGATGGACAAATGGTAACTGACTTAGAAGACTGGATATACCTGAAACCCAGATTCAAAATGGGAGAAGCCACTGAGAAAAAATCTAATTCTTACCATAAAATTCCAGATATGCTCAGGAATTGAGTATCAGATCCTTCTAAAGTTGGAACAGAAAATAAGATATCAGTTGAACACTTTTATAAGAAGTTTCTTAGGCCCCTACGTTTCTTCTTCCACCATTCACAGCCAAAAAACATACTTCCCAAACCCTTGGAAAAGAGAGGAGATTTAATCTTTGAAAATGTTGAACAGAAAATGAAATATGTTTTATATCACAAAATACAGCTAAGACCATATTGAAAATAGAGGGATTCATGAAACTCTACAACAAAATATGAGATTTCCAGGTCCATTAGGCTCCCAGAATGCTGAAAAATGGGCATATATCTATCATATCCCCAGCCATACAAGAAATTAAAGGATTCCTCACTAAGAAAACTAAATAATTCAAGGAGAGAGGGACCTATGGATACTGACAATTAGGATACTTCCCAACAACAAAAATCTAATTTTTCTCAACACCTTACAGTGAAGGCTATCATTGAACAGGCCAAGGGATCCAAAACTTCTAATTGCCTATTTTTTGTCTCACTCAAACATGCATGGATACGGTGCCATTCTGATATGGCAGAGTAGCTGGTATGACTAAACCTCCTGTATATAACAATTATAATCTCTGGATTAAATATAAAAAGGATTCTTTAAATGTGCAAAAGTTCCACCAAAATCAGAAAACTGAAAATTATGTAACCCACAAAAGAAAGGAACGTTTCTGAATTAGATGAGCATTTATTTAGCTTTTCCTCTGAGGGCTCTGCAAGCAACACAACTCTTAGTAGCTTGAGGTGTCAGAAAACAGAATTCAGGGCTGGCAGAGAGGCTAGAAATTGAGGAGCAAATTCCAAAAAGGAGGGAGCACAGTGAAAGAATCCAACAATCCACATATAAATTGTGCTCAAATACTAGGCTAATCTCTGAACTACACATAATGTGTGGGAAACTCCAAGGAACTGAGCAGAAAGCACAAAGCATTAACTGGAAGGTTGAAAAGCTGAGAAAAAATTTCAGCTGTTCCTTACCTCAGGAGAGAGACACGGTTTGGAGTATGAGTTTCACCAAGTTTAACTGTGTGTTATAAGAAAGAAAGAAAAAAAAACTCTTTAAGAAAAAAATAACAGAATCCAGAATCTCTGCAAGGAATCATTGACAACCTAGTATACAATAAAAAAAAAATATTAGATATGTGAAGGGGTAGAAAAATTTGAACCACAGTCAAAAGAAATATCAACCAATAGAAATCAACACCAAGATGATTTAGATAGATTGGTATTCATAGACAAAAGATTTAAAACAGCTATTATAAATATGTTCAAATAATTTTTTAAAAAGATAATCACAATGAGTGTACAGATGGGTAATACTATTAGAGAAATGGAAACTACTCAAAAGAAAAAAATTAGAAATTTATGAATGGGCAAACTATCTGAGATTCGAAAAAAAAAAATCACTCAGGGCGCCTGGGTGGCTCAGTTGGTTAAGTGACTGCCTTCAGCTCAGGTCATGATCTCAGGGTCCTGGGATCGAGCCCTGCATTGGGCTCTCTGCTCGGCGGGAAGCCTGCTTCTCCCTCTGGCCCTCCCCCTGCTTGTGTTCCCTCTCTCACTGTCTCTCTCTCTGTCATTAAAAAAAAAAAAAAAAAAAAAAAAAATCACTCAAATTGCTTACGGAAGAGTGCAAATTACAGAGGAAATAGTGGGTGAGCCTGAAGATAGACTATGCTATCTAACCTCCAAGATAGTCCCCCCCAATCATCTCCTGATAATTATGCCTTTCTGAGTTCACCTACCACACTGAATCAGGGTTGACCTATGTGACAAATAGAACATGGTAGAATAAGGGTATGTGACTTCTACAGTCATAAAAGCATTACAGAATTTGCCTTGACCTCTTGGATTGCTCATTCCAAGGGAAGCCAACTTACATGGGATTCTCAAACAGCTCCATGGAGATGGTAATGTGGAGAGGAACCAACTTACTAGCCATGTGAGTCAGCCACCATAGAAGTAAATTCCCCCAGCCCCAATCAAACCATCAAATGACTACAACCCCAGCCAACATCTGACTAAAACTTCATAAGAGACCTGAGCTGAGCCACACAACAATTCAGAATTTCAAATAATTCAGGATTTTCTGAATTCATAGAAACCGTAGGAGATAAATGATTACTGCTGCTATAAGTCACTAAATTTTGGAGTAATTTATTTTGCAGCAATAGAGAATTAATAATAGCATAGCTATAGAAATTATCCAATTTAGATAACAATAACAACAGAGAATGAAAGCAAAAAGTTGGGAAAAAGGGGGCATGGGGACAAGTCTCAGTGAATTATAGGACAATATCAAGATATCTTACATATCACTGGGTTCCCAGGAGATAGAGAAAGGACTGGGGCAGAAAATTTATTTGAAAACAATGGCAGAAAGTTCCCCAAAGTTGATTTTGGTAAATCAACTTATAGATTCAAGAATTTCAGAAACCCAAACAGAATAAGTAGAAATAAAATCACACATAGGCCCATCTAAGTTAAATGCTTAAAAACAATAGATTTAAAAAACAAATAAACAAAAACAGTTTTGAAAGCATCCCCTGCTGGAGGCATGGGGGAGAAAGAGAGAGAAAGAGAGAAGTAAATATATTATATATTATAGGGAAGTAATAATACAAATGACAGATGACTCCTCATCAAAAATAATGTAAGCCAAAAACAATGGAATGATACCTCTAAAGTTATTTAACTTTGAAGATATTTAACTACAAAAAACAAAACAAAAACAAATCCAGAGATCCAGAATTCCATACTAAAGGAATTTTTTTTGAGGGGGTAGGAGCTGAGGGAGAGGGAGAGAGAGAATCTTAAGGGGGCTCCATGCCTAGCACAGAGCCCAATACAGGGCTCAGTCTCACAACCCCGAGATCATGACCTGAGCCAAAATCAAGTTGGACACTTAATCAACTGAGCCACCCAGGTGGCCCTAAAGGAATATTTTTAGGCTGAAGGGAAAGAAACAAAATGAAAACTCACATACACAGAAAGGAATGAAGATAGCAGACATGGGATATACATGTAAACAGAAAAAGCTCTAGTTCTTATTCTCCCTTTTATTTAAAAGACAACTCATGGTTTAAAGCAAAAATTATAATATTGAATTTTGTGGGTTATAGTAAAATATGATACAAAATACTACATATAAATCCTTCTATATAATGTTGAGGAAAAGACAAAATTAAGTGACAGAACGCAGATCAGTGGTTCTCAGAGGCCAAGACAGGGTAGACAATTGATCAAAAATGGGTTTGAGGGCATTTGGAGTGATGGAAAGTTTTATATCATGATTTTGATGGTGCTTATATGATTTTATTATGTGATATGTCAAAACTCTTTAATTATACTTTAAAAATTGATGTATTTTATTGTATGCAAACTGTATCTAATAAAGCCAATTAAAATTTATAGTAACTATGTAGCCAATTCTTTAACTTAGCCCAATCAAAAGTCCATAAATACTGAAAAAGAAGAAGTTAAACTGTTGCCATTTATAAATGACTTGATGTTTTACACAGAAAATCCTAGGATTTGACTTAGACTACTAAAATTATTAAATGAATTTGAAAAGGTCACAGGGTATAAGATCAAAATAAAACTATCAATTGTATTTTTAAATAATAGCAGGAAACAATTGGAAAATGGAATAGAATAAAAAAGCACAAAAATAATCTTCTATTGCATAATCTACCAAATATTGCTAAGAGAAATAAATGGAAAGATATACTATATTCATTGATTGAAAGACACTATATTGTTAACATGTCAACTATCCCCTAATTGGTGTATAGGCTAGTTTTAGTAGTCTTTGTCTGTAGAAATTGAAGTCTATTCTAAAATGTGTGAAGAAATACAAAATACCTGGAATAGAAAAACAATTCTGAAAAAGAACAAAGCTGGAGGTCTCACTCTTTTGAATTCAAAACTTACAATAAAGCTACAGAAATGAAATCTTACAGAAATGAAAACAGTACAGTATTGGTGTAAAGACAAAAAGAATAGGTCAACAGAACCGAATAGGGAATTCAGTATATACATGTGGTCAATTAATTTTTGTAAAAACTATCAAAGCAATTTAATGAGTAAAGCAAAGTCTTTCCAGTAAATAGTACTAGAACAACTGGATAAATATATAGGGAAAAATGAAGCTCAATCTTTTCCTCAGAGGCAAAATTAATTTAAGATGCATAAGCCTATGCATATAAGCTAAAACTACAGTAGTACTTCTAAAAGAAAATACTTACGAATATCTTCAGGAACTTGTAATAGATAAAAATATCTTAGACAAGACATTGTGGGCTCTTAAACATAAGAGAAAATGTTAAAAAATGGAATTTATCAAATTTTAAAACTTCTGCACATCAAGAGACAAAATTAAGAAAATACAAACACAAGCCACACTGAGAGTCAATATCCTTAATACAAGTATCTGACAAAGAATATATATCTGGAATATGTAAAGAATTCTTAGAAATCAATACAAAGATTAAATAAAAACAATTAAAAGACTTCTGGTTTCTGCTTAGAAATGCTTAGGATGTAGAGAACTGCAAAGAGCATTGCTCCAATCCTTATACTACAACAAAAAGCCAAAATGCAAGGTCAAGATGTTCTTATCCCTTCACAGAACTGAGGTCACAGAACAAACAAGTAATCTAAAATCTTAGGACAGACAGGTGTCCACGGGAAAAATGGCAGTTGCTTACCTGTGGCAAACATAGCCACAAACCAGTAAAAATTACTCATGAAGAGTTAACAAACTGGGGATGTTGAATGTGGGCTTACAACAGAATGTGAAACCCCTGGGAACAACATATATAAGAGGAGCTCACACCTTCTTGCAGGTTTTTCTCCACTGACTCTACTGGGCACACAAAAAAATGGTTGAGAGGGATGCCTGGGTGGCTCAGTCAACTAGGCGCCTGCCTTCAGCTCAGGTCATGATCCCAGGGGTCCTGGGATTGAGTCTGCATCGGGCTTCTTGCTCAGCAGAGAGCCTGCTTCTCCCTCTGCCTGCTGTTCCCCCTGCTTGTGCTCTCTCTGACAAGTAAATACAATCTTAAAAAAAAAAAATGGGTGAGAGTCCTGAGAAAGCATGCCTTGTGGTGCAGACCTAGAAGAAGAGAACAGCAGCTACAAGGAAGGGGTAGAAAACCAGCCATGACCTTCTCCCTTATCTTCCCTATGGAAAAAAAATAGCATTATTCTGCAGGAGAGGGGAGGCAACAAACATTGTCACCTTTAGGCACTGGCACAAACCCACAAGGAAGGGAACAGAAAAATCCCTCCTCCCTGAATGGAGAGGCAGGAATGTGTCCTGA